TAGTTCAATTTTTCCTGATCACGTTTATATAGTTGTCCTGCCTGTTTTTGGAGAGTGGTGTATTCCATGAATATAACAGTCGCTGGCTTCTTATTGCTCAAACATTTCAAAGCACCCAGTCCTGTCAACTCATTGCAGTCATACTGTGTTTTCACCTATCATTATTCCAGTTTATCTCCAAATATGTTCTTACCATTGAAAACTCTCTATGTCTAAATCCTGAGATTTCTTTGCCAAAATGTGTAATGCCTAGAGTAAATCTGGAGAGATGATGCTAGGGTTTAAGTAGTGCAAAGGCAGGGGTGGGGGTGGGGTTGAGGAATCGTTTAGGAGCAAGTGCTCTAAATAAGTAGGCTTTAGCATGAGAGGCATTAGAATAGATAGAATCTAGGAGTAAAAACAAAGGTTTTTGTCAGGGTTAAGTACTTTGGAAAGCCACTCTCGTATCACAGAAATGGCATGATTTGGAGACAGCTATGCTGGGTATGAATCAGATGTCTGTTTACTCTGTAGACTTTTCCTTAATTATTTAAAAAAATTTTAACATTTATTTATTTTTGAGAGACAGAGAGAGAGGGAGCATGAGCAGGGGAGGAGCAGAGAGAGAGGGAGACACAGAATCTGAAGCAGGATCCTGGCTCTGAGCAGTCAGCACAGAGCCTGACGTGGGGCTCAAACTCAGGAACTGTGAGATCATGATCTGAGCCGAAGTGGACGCTTAACCGACTGAGCCACCCAGGCCCCCCTACTCTATACACTTTTGACAACTGAATTGATCTCATAGAACTTTAGCTTCCTTCTGGATAATGCAGGGACCATAATAATGATTGCATCAGATTTGTGCAAGAATTAAATGGTAGAACACTGAAAAACACCTAGCATAGTGTCTATGATAAATTAGGTACTAAAAACAAACATAAAAACAAACAGAATGAACTATACATTTAAGATGAAGGTAGGGACCAAGAAATTTGCAACAGGTTCCCATTTCCTCATTGAAAAATGCATAGTCTTGATGTTCTTTAAAAAAAAAAAAAAAAAGTCATCCCAAACTCCTGAATAATAATCCTGTTAAAATACGGACCAAATTTTTGAAAGTATAAACTGAGAAAAATATGTTTATCTAAAAGTTGGCGCAGCACAAGCTGAACCTCTCCCAGACCTGCCAGTGGAGTAGGGCGGAACCGGTGTGTTTGTTTTTGGTATGGTACAGCAATAATCTCATCCACAGGGTTCCCAGGAGTTCATTCAGAGTGGGGCTGCCCTTCGCGGTAAACAACAAGCAGATGCTAAGGGAGCATGAACAGCTCTGGGAAGTCATCTACGGGGCTTCACAAAGGATAGATTGTAAGCAAAGCTAATGTGCCTATTAGGGGTTATAAAATCTATAAAGACATTGGAAGCAACAGCACTTGTTTTTTTCTTTCCCACATGTGTATCTTGGTAGTACTAAGACATTTACTTACTAATTTATTTATTTATTTTAGTACCAAGACTTTTAAAATCAGTTCTTTATGAGGGGCACCTGGGTGGCTCAGTCGGTTAAGTGTCCAGCTTCGGCTCAGGTCATGATCTCACAATTTGTGGGTTCGAGCCTGGAGTCAGGCTCTGTGCTGACAGCTCAGAGCCTGGAGCCTGCTTCGGATTCTGTGTCTCCCTCTCTCTCTGCCCCTCCCCCCACTCCCTCTCTCTCTCAAATAAATAAATATTAAAAACAAATAAAAAAAATCAGTTCTTTATGAGACTTAAAATAAACTGGGAGAGAAGTACTTTTGGAGATGTAGCTGATTAGAATTTTTTTTATCTTAGGGTTACTACCAGTGGTCCAACAGTCACGCAAAAGGCATTAGCCTCACTTTCCATCTTTCCTACCAAAGCTTTTCATTGGAAGAGCTTCATTTAATCCAATTTCACAATGGTGAAATGCACACCTGCAACTATTGTCCAGGTGGGAAAGAACTGGTGAAGGGACTCCGATGTGCTTTTGGAGGTGAGTCAGTTTCTCAAGTACTTCTGAGGGTCTTTGTGACCAGAGGCATATTGTGGGCTTTGGAAAACAAATGTGAACAATTCGTGGTTCCTACCCTTGAACTGCTCATGGTCTAATGGAGTAGTAGGTGAGACAGACACAAAGATACATGACACGCACTATAAAGTGATAAATATAAACAGAGATATCAAAGTATAGAGGAATAGGCGGGCCAATTTGAAGATTCCATGGAGGCTTTGTGTAGGATACAATGTCTGAACTCATTCACTGGAATCTGAGGAGTTAGCTGGGTGAGGCTAGGTGAAAGGGGGCATTGAGGGTGGTGGCATTTTAGGCAGAGGAACAGCCTGTGTGAGTGAAATCATGGAGTTGTATCATCAAACTGTGTATACTTGGGAAGTGAGAGGATAAAGCCTATGGTAGGAGCATGTTGGAAAAGGGACGAGAGAAGCAGATAGTGGCCAGGTCATAAAAGACTATATGTAACATTAAATATGTCAGGTTTTCATCTTGTAAGAAATGGGGAATATTGAAGAGGTTTTAAGAAGGCAATACCATGGCCCAATTTCCATTTGAAATACAGCATTGTGATACCAATCTAGAAACTGGATATGAAGTAACAAAGGGAGAGTAAGAAGCTATCGAAATTGTTTATGTCAAAGATGCTAAGAGACTAAATAGGAAATAAAGTAGAAAAAGTGAAGGGGAATATAGATTCAATAAGATTGGAGGTGCAATGGGCAAAAATTAGACCAAATGAACATAACCATTCAATACAATTGTTTTAGAGGAACAAATATAATTTAGCAGCTGCAGATGATAAATTCAGTTTTGAACATGTTGGGATGGTAGTGCTTATGAGTGTATCCAAATAGTTATATACAACAAGCATTCGAATCATGAGAGAGGTCCAGGCTAGAGATAAAGCACTTCAAATCCTCAGCAGACTCATGATAGTCAAACAATAAGAATTGCATTACCTAAGGAAAACTCATTCATTCATTCATTCATTCAACAAACACTTAATGAGCACCTGCTATATGACAGACACTTTTTTTGGGCTCTGTGGTTGAATTAATGGACAAAATAGTCTCTGCTTCTACAGAACGTGAATTCTATAAACCAGATTAGAAAGAGCACTGGGTCAGAAAGCAGTGTAGATGGAGGCAGAGAAGGTCTCAAGGAGACTAAGAAAAGCAGAAGAGGACCAGAAGTAGGCTCCTAGAAGTAATGGAAAGAAAGAATGTTAAAGAGACAGTCGACAATGTCAAACATGGCAGAGATGTTTACTTAAGTAAGACCTAAAGAATGTTCATTAGGTTTGGAAATATGGAAGCAATGCTGACCTCAGTGAAAGCAGTTTTGAGGGGGTGTGGAGCATAGATAAAATAGCAGTGTATTTAAGAGCTTAAAGAAAATTGGAGACACTGAATATAAAACACATTTAAAAGAGATGTGGATGAGAAGTGAAATATATAGGATGGAGGCTGGAGGGAGAAGGCCATTTGTGCAGAAATCTTGAAAACTTTATCTTTTGTCCCAATTTTGCATTTCCAGTGGATTCTGGACATCTTTATCTTGATATGCCACCAACAATACAACCTCAACAACTAACTAAAGCATCAGAAAACCCTATTTTTTGTGTGTGCCCTCACTATTTCTACATACCCTGCCTTTAAACTGCCTCCTTTCCACAATTTTTATATTTAGTCAGCAGCAGAACCTGCCTTTTCTTCACTTTGTATTGCTACCTCTCTACTGCAGACCCTCAGTACATGATTGATTTTGTCACCCTAACCAAAGTCCTCTCTAACTCTTGTGTTTTTGCTTAACAATCCATCCCAGCCATCACTGCCAAAATCATCTTGCTAAAAACACATTCCTGTTCATGTTACTCTCCTGATCTCAAGGCTTTAAGGGTTTTCTAGTGCCAACCCAGTTAAATGCAAACCCACTAAATTGGTATTCAAGTTTCTCCATAATATGGTTTCAATCAAACTTCTCTGTCTTATGTTTTTTTTTCTCCAAACCTGTACCCTGAGATCCAGTCAAAGTGGCTTGATCATTGTTTCTTAAGTTTAACTTTTTCCCCACCTTGGACATGAATGCTCCTGTACTTTGTCCAAATTTTATCTACCCTTTAAATTCCAGTTCAGTCCAGTTTCTCATTAAAAAGTTTTTTTAATGTTTATTATTTTTGAGAGAGAGAGACACAGAGACAGAGAGCAAGTGGGGAAGGGGCAGAGAGAAAAGGAGACACAGAATCTGAAGTAGGCTCCAAGATCTGAGCTGTCAGCACAGAGCTTAATGTGGGGTTTGAATTTGTGAATGCGAGATCGTGACCTCAGCTGAAATTGGACGCTTAACTGACTGAGCCACCCAGGTGCCCCTCCTTCCTCATTTTTTTTTTTTGTCAGAATTCCTGCACTGCATTTATCCTTTTAACCATTATAATACTTTATCCACAGTGATGTTTTTTGCATTGTAGATACTTATAAATTATGATTACATTCTCTACTATGTTTTAAGGTCTATTGAAAGCAGGGGACATATTTAACATGTTTTTATTATCCGTATCTTGCAGATGACACAGCTATTGTTTAATGCATGTTTGGTAAATGTAAGTGAACTCCCAGTGATATAAAAATATAAAATTTTAGAGCTCGAAATGACCTTAGAGATGATATGGTCAAACTCTTATTTTATAGATGAAGGAATTGAAACTAAAAACTGTTAAGTGACTTGCCCATGTCGCATGGCTGGTCAGTGACAGAGCAGTGCTATAATCCTACCTCTTGACTCTCAGTCCAGTCTTCTTTCCAACTCATGACAGCACCTGTTTGGGAAGCTTGAGTTGATCCCCCGTCTTTGTCATTATCGTCCCTGACCTAATGGTCCCTGGCACCATCATTAGTGTTAAAGTCATAGAGCCCTTCCTAGTTGCACACATTTGTGAATCCACAGCCAAAGGAAAAGCTGGAAGAAGGCTCGAGCAGCCCACCCAACTTACCAGGCGGAAGAGGGAAATGGTGTTCCCCGTGATGTTGTAGTGGGCCAGAACCTCAGCATCCGTGCTGATTCCAAATGACACGGCTTGGAACTTTTGCACCATACCGTGGAATAGGGACACTGCTGGGATTTCTAAATCCTGAAAACAAGAGGGGGGAAAAAACCCACAGGGATTATTTTGGAGAGGAGACACATAGAAATAGAATAGGGAGTAGAAACGTGCTCACTCACATAAAAAGAATAATAGACTTGATTTAGTGTCAGGTGAAACAACATTTACCTCTAAATTTGCAGTGGTATTGTTGGGTTTTCCAGGCTTGGTGGGCTAATAGGTAACTACAAAATTGTAGCTAAGCCTGAAACTGCTGTCTGGCCTTACCATAAAACTTGCAGTCTATTAGCAGAGAAGGGCCTCAAAATCATAGACGCCTGTGGAGTTTGGCTGCACTGTCATTGATATACCCGAGGAGGCAAATGTCTTGGGAACAGTTTGTGGAGGAAAGAAGGAATGCAGAAATAAATAGGTACTGTCAAAGGTCCTGAAAGGAAAATAATAAATAATAATAAAGGAAATTAAAATGGAACTTAGAGGTTTTATTAACAAAAGTTTGTGCCGGATGTGGAAGAACAATGCTCTTCCCCTGCATTGAGCCTGAGGTATTGCCCATGAAGATACTGTTTCTGTGTTGTTCCAACTCTAGAACTCAGGCCTGCAGCAGACAGCAGGGAAACCACAGCTAAGCGATGATCCAGTCCTTCTACAGCAAGCTGGCATCATTTTCCCTGCTGTCACAGGACCTTTGCCCATAGCAGCTCCAGGCAATAAACAGGAGGGAGCATATTCTTTTCTGACATCTTTCTGGGCTGGAGGAAGAGATGTGCAAAAAGAAAGAAGCTGACTAACCTTGCATCTGGGGTAATTGGACAGGGTGTGTGGAGTTCATCCGAGGCTATGAACAATTGCTAATCTAGGCTTGCCCTTTTTTAATTCCCCTTAGAGTGGAATTACTCATGGATCAAATGACGGACGGCATCTGGTGGCTGTTTAAGTTATTGCAAATTCCTCTATTCCCACTTTCTTTGCCTCTCCCTGCCTTTCTGAAGGTGGCCGTTTCTGTCTACCGCTCAGATCTCTCATCACTGAGAAACATGCTCCCCTGTCTTCCTTCCCCACATGCATCTCACTGAAGCTATTTCCAGCTGTGTACACGGAATTGACAGGGTGATGGTGACTAATTAGTGGAAATAGATAAGAAGGTCTGCAATAAGAGTAGAGGCTTGATCTGTGAGAATAACCAGATGTTACCTTCAAACAAAGATAAAAATGCTGGAATGGTGCCCTTTGATTTATGGCTGCTTTCATCAGTCAGGCAGCCAATCTGGAAGATGGAGGCTAATACCTCAAATATTCAAAATGTCATCCTTTTTCAACATTTCGGAACAAACAAAGAGAAAGACAAGTGAGGGACTACCTACTTGGTAAGGCTTTAGAAAGAGATTAACTATTGACTTATGTGTTCCCTGGATGATAGAGGTTGGGTTTACTCTGGTCTCTGCCTCAGCAATCCAGACACTGACTTAACATTGAAAGCATTTATAGATGAGAAGATCCAGAACTCTTTTTGGGGGGGATGGGGGGAAGAGAGGGACAGAGGGAAAGAGAGAGAGAGAGGGGGAGAGAGAGAATCCCAAGAAGACTCCACACTCAGTGATGAAGCCCAATGAGGGGCTTGATCCCATGACCCTGGGATCATGACTTGAGCCAAAACTAACAGTTGGATGCTCAACTGACTGAGCCACGCAGGCACCCCAAGACTGAGAAGTCTTGAATCAAGTGTGAGAAAGACATAATTCAGAGACTGGGAATGTCTTGAAATTGAGAGGTCTAGATTGATAAGCTGAAAGTGAAGTCTGTGCCCCTTGACTTCTAGTGCAGTGGCCAGCAGGTGACTCTCATGTCTGCTCTGAGGTAGAATGTTTCCGGTTCTTTGGGGGAACAGAAATGGGGTCACTGGACAAACCTGGAAGAAACCTATGACAGCCACCTCAGCAGCAGCAATGAATTCCATGGTAGCTGGGACATCTGTGAGCTGCACAGTTTCCCGGGAAGCACCAGGATCATCTACAGAGAGAGAGAGAGAGGGAGAAGCAGAAGGTTTTGGGGTATCACATGCAGAAGAAACAGTTCTAAATGCTGAGGGTATCCATACTTTTTCTCTCCATACTAAGGCCAAGGAGATCACAGTCTCTAGGGGCACTGTCATCATCCCAAGGCTTTATTGTTTTATAAGGAAGGTGACTTCACCTCATGGTCTCTCTCTGAAGAATAATGCTAGGCTTCTCTTGTCTCTACTATGGAACACAAATCTTTATCCAGCATTTCCTAGAAGATGTTCTACATCGGGAGGAACAACACCCAGATCACTACCATATTCCCTTTCCTTCACAATACTTTTGCCCTATGGTCACCCAAGTGCTTTTTTCTTTTACCTGAGGATTCCTGAACTTCTGCAGCAGCTTCTGGAGATAGTTGGCACATGAAAAGAAATAATAGAAACAGGAATCTGCATTGGTCAGCTTCCATCCTTCTTTTTCTGCTCCTGCTCCAAGCCCTGGACCTGTTATGGGAGGCCAATTCACAGCAGCCTACTCCAGTTAACTGGCCATAGTGTTGTTAGTGTTCTGGGAACTTTGCAGCTGGTTCTATGGGAACCTTCAACTTCTGAGATTAAAGACCAGGTTCAGTGACAAGATCTCAGAACATAACCGGCCAGAAGAAAGTCAAGTCTGTTCATTTATAAATTTTTTTTTTTTACATTTTTAATTTATTTTTGAGAAACAGAGTGAGACAAAGCGTGAGCGGGGGAGGGGCAGAGAGAGAGAAGGAGACAGAATCTGAAGCAGGCTCCAGGCTCTGAGCAAGCAGTCAGCACAGAGCCTGACGCAGGGCTTGAACCCACAAACTGTGAGATCATGACCTGAGCCGAAGTCTGACGCTCAACAGACTGAGCCACCCAGGCACCCCAAGTCTGTTCATTTAGATTAAATAAAAAGGAAATATTCTCTGCAGGTATTGATCTAAGTACTAGGGATACAAAGATAAGTATGATCTGATCCAGCCTTTCCCAGATTGTTAGTGTGAAAGATGAACAAATAAACAGATCATTTAAATATAAAATGGGAGGTGATTAAAAATTGAGAAACTCCTAGGATACTATGAAAATACAGACTTAAGGACACTTAGCACAATGGTGGGGTTCAGTGAAGGTTTTCTTCCTACAAGGGATGCCTAAGCAGAGTCCCCTGTAAATAGGATTTTCCAGGCAACAGAGGTGGAAGGAGAGTTTCATGTAAAGAGCCCATTCATGTAAAGAGCCCAAACACGGAGATGCAAATGTAATGTGTGAGAGAATTATTAGTAATTGAACTTAGGCCAGATTGTAGGGGGCATTATACAATAAGTGTAGGATCTTATTCTCTAAGCAACTGGGATCATATTGGAAGGTCGTAAGCAGGAGAGAAGCAGTGGCTGATTTGGCCCACACGTGCCCTCTGAAATCCAAGATAGGATTCCCATAGGTAGTAGGATATATGGGTCTCAAGCTCAGGAGAAAGTTCCATATGGTACTACCATAAAATAAAATATCTCAGGATTTCTACTATTCACATTCTGAATATTCATTGCTCATTGCACTAGAACAGGGAGACTAAACATTTCCTAGTGATGTAAATACCGTCTCTACTGTGTCCAGCCCACACATATGCTCTGAGGAAACTCACAAATGTAAACAATGTAGTTATCATATTTGTTCAAAGAAAGAAGGCAGGGAAATGAGGGTCTCAGTCAGATCATACAACTGTTTTATTTATTCTCTTGTGTTGTTTACAGTGTCTCCCATAAAAGAAGAACCCCAACTGGTAGGCAACGTGATTAGGGACCTTCACTGAGCCAGCAGCAACCACAGAAGAATGCAGGGATGGGAATGAGCTACTGGAACCCAAGGCAAAGGACTGTTAGTGATAGTTTGCCTATTTCTTGGCCTCTAGTTGCTCACATGGGAAAAATAGAAGGAAATACTAAATGACCATGTATTGAAATGAAGAATTTTGAAGATCTGGCCATGATGAGGATTGGAAGGAATGGGCAGGATTAAAGTCTGGTGTTAAGCATCTTGTGCTAGGGACCACTTTGAGAGACATTGCGGGACAAGAAGCATTGATAACAGAATGTGGGGAGTATTGGGGAAAGGACCTAGCTCTGAACAGGGAGGAGGGACAGGGTGATGAATATGACAGAGAGGGTACTTCTGAGTGGCAAGGTGGGGAAAAGGAAGGGCAGATGCACTCATTCTGTCCATTCCTTCTTAATAGACAGGTTCCACTCCCAGGTAAGGTGGTCATGCTTGTCATCGTCGGTGAAGAAGGACTTGTTGTGGTAAGTGCCTCGGGCCAGCATACCCTTGGGAGCCTCCTCAATCGGAGTCAGGAACTCATACTCCTCTGGCCGAGGCCCGTAGCTGCCAACCATAAATGTCGCTTTATCCACTAGGAAGAAAGGAAAGTTCATTAGGGTAAGAGTCTGAAAGAGAAAACAAACACAGCAAACTGGAAATTTCGGAGCACAGCTCACAGTGATCAACGCCAAGAGCCACAGTTTCCAATACTGGCAAAATGTCAGATTTACATGGGGCACCTTTTTATTTTCTTTAAAATATTTTTTTTTTATCGGAGTACCTTTTAATAATACAGTTTTCTTTGACCCACTCTTAGATACTATGGACAAGTAATCTTCCATGGGTGGTCCCAAGAATCAGTGTTTTAAAAAGCATCACAGCTGATACTATCAGGAGAGTTGGGAAATCTGTGCCTTAAAGCTATGGGGATCAAGACTCTTTTATGGTAGATGTAGCAGATTATACCATAAAAAAAACTCCACATTAACGGAAACCTGAGTTCTGATCTTAGCTCTGCAACTATTTAAGTCACATAACATTTCTGGGCCTCTGTTTCTTCCTATATGCAATTAACTTCTTCTAATCTACAAACTATCGTTCTATGGACATATCAGTTGGGGGAGGCAAGGTAACAGAGGGTGATCAGAATGAACAATACTCATGGATGGAATTGTTGGATGGATGGGGAAAATCAATAATTTGGTAAAAAAAAAAAAAAGTCTTCACAAATGTTGAAAATAGCCAACCCAAATTATTAACAGGTGAATAACTGGGATATATATTAAGTAGAGCATTAGAAACTGTAACTAAGGCTAGGTAGATAGACAGGCAGGCAAAGTGTAGTTAGCTGTAAAGTGTTGTGAAGAAGCTTAGAGGAACAGCTACAGACATATCATCGTCCTCTTGCCTAATTGAGGCAACATAGTCTCTATACCCAAGGAAAATAGGAAACAGAACTATTTTTTCATGAGACTTGGTATTGGAAAGACCAGTCAAGATCTTCCAGGTCAATAATCTTCTGTGGGGTTTGAGTCATTGAGTGGTTGTCTGTGTCCTGCAAATTTATCAGACAATTCTCTCCTAATCCTTTGTGTATTAATTCGATGGAACTGATCTGGGCAGTACTGTCTCACACCCCTGGAAGGAGACAGCCCCCAAGGTAAGATGGAACTGTAAAAGTACTTCCATCATCCTTCCAAGTGTCATTTCTCCCTGCCCACAATAATGGAAGGAAACTGGAGGCGTTCCCCAAGGCATGTACAGGTTAGGTACAATTTGTCAAGAGCAGCTGCAGATCAAGTAGTGTCACATTATGTCTCAATCACAGCTTTTCTCAACTCTAGAAAGATTCTATTTCTTTGTTTAAAAAATTCAGTGCTGCTCCCTGCTCCCCTACCTCCACTCCACAACTGCCCGCATGCTACTTCCGTCTCCCATTTCCAAAAGACACACATAACACATACCACTAGATAGATCTTTCTGGTCTTGGATTTCTCTGACACATGTATACCTGTGAACTTTTTTTTTTTTTTGAGAGTATTTTAATATACTCCATCTTTATTCAAACTTATCTTGGTTACTCTTCCCCTTTATGAATAATAAGCTTAAATTCCAGAAACTGAATGCTGAAGGTTAGTGGTGGACCCAGTCTAAACTGGATCTCTGGACGTAGGCCTTACCATTGGTGTCGAGGTCAGAGGTACATATGTGCTTTTTCCTAGGGGGAGCGCCCATAGCTTTTAATCAGATTCTTACATGAGCCTATGATTAAAATTGTTAATAAGCAGAAGATTAAGTATCAGTGGGGAGCAGAGTTTGGGACAATGTAAAGTGTGGGTCCCTTACCTTTCACCCCAGTCCGGTAGGTATGCTGAACATATTTCAGGCCTGACACAATATCTCTGTTCACCTGTAGGTGGGAAGGATCCAAGCAATTCAGATTAAAATAGGTCTTTCATTTTCCCTCATCTTTCATGCTTATCCTACCTAGCAGTCTTCTCTGAGGACGGAAGAAGATTGAGATTTAATTCAGAATAAGTGTTACTATTATCATTTCATGTGATGGTGAGGCAGAGATTGGAGAGATCACAAGACTCAACGTTGCCAATCTGGTTCTAATCATGGAATACTGTGCTGTTTGGTTTGGGAGAGGGGGGTGCTTAATTAAAACATTGTCTCAGTGTTCTTCATTACATTTATCCTTCCTCCAAAAGTCCTAAGAACAGTCTTGAGCTTCCCCTCCCTGATACTACTGGCCAGAAGACTGTCCTTGTCTTAGGAAAGGCTACAAAGGTACCAATGGAAAATATTATGTGAAAACCTGAAAACCCTAACCTCAGAAATGATCTATCTAGCATGAAAAACAAACAACAAGGAGAAAAGCCGTAATGGAAAATCAGATTTAAAAGATGGTTGTGCCTGTAATGTCACTGAGACTGGAGTCTAAAGATGGGGAGATAGGCCTCATGGAAACATAGGCTTACTAAACTGATAAATAATGGGTGAAATCCACTCGTGTTTGGCAAGCATTTTGGATGTCTGTTATTTTCACATGTTGTCTGAGATGTCACCACTTTCCCAAGCCTTTCAGAGAAAGTTCACTAAAGTAGGATGAAAATATATATAGCCCAAGCACTTTGTTTTTCCACGATTCATTTTGCCTAGGACTGAACTGCATTGCCCATTAATTTTATACTGTGCTCATGTTCATACAAACAAATAAAGTGGACATTGCGTCATTAGCTGGAGGGCTTGGTTAATTGTTCACCAAGATGAAGAATGAAAGCATCTTCAAATAATTTCTCCCAACAGTAATTATGGCTGCCTTCCTGTTTTGGACAGAATAATCAAACCAATTTATCAGTGCTATGTTTTGTTTTATTGGCAATGAGGTAGCTCAGCCATGAACCCTAGCTTAGGTTCACTCAGTAAAATGGTCACTCAGTAAAATCTGTCATACAAATCTATCAAAAGCATACAGAATGAAAACAACTCCATGGAAGAAATTGTGACAAAGTGATGCCCTAACTTTCTGATTACTCTGCCAGATGTGGCTCATACAAATAGAAAAAAGTGAATGCATTTTTCTAGAAGTCTCTAAGCTAGTCCTTTGGTCTTTGTAAGAGATTTGGTCTGGTGGTAAAAAGACTGAAAAACAGGAATGGTGATTGCTACTCACCATAAGGACTTCAAAACGGAGCCTCCTGTTTTTCTACTGCTCCATAGAGGGTTCATTTAATAT